CTAGCCCCCACTGAGCAGAGGGCCCCCCCCCCCCCCAAGCCTGCCCCACAGCTGTCGCAGAGAGGAGACAGAAAAGGCTCGGTCTACTCCCGGTGTGGCCAATGGAGCACCCATGCCATGAGGGCTCCCCCACAGCTTGCTGGCCCAGGGGAGGCCAGGCCAGGTACATGTGGCAGGGAGGGGCTCCATTCCCTCCCCCAGCTGCAGGTCCTGGCATAGCTAAAAACTGCTCCCAGGGTTCTGTTCAGCACCCCGCCAGCCTCCTGGCAACTGCAGCCAGAAGCTGCAGCACAGGGTAGGCAAGCTGCAGTTGCACCTGGGGTGGGGGGTGCCCCCCTAATACAGAGACCCAGCTTGGCCCCCTGGCCCCCAAGCCAGCAACTTGTTGGGGGTGGCAGGGTCATCTCTAGCCACAGTTCCCAGCGCAGCTAAAAGCCGGATGAGCAGCCCCATGCTGCAGATTCTGGCTGCAGTTGCCAGGAGGCTGGAGTGGGGTGGGTGAATGAATCCCCCTGCTGCATGGACCTGGCTCGGCCCCCATCACTAAACCCCAAGCCAGCAAACTTTGGGGGGTGGCCTTGTCTCAGGGTGGGTTCTGTTCATCCCCTCCTGCCCCAACCTCCTGAGAGCTGCAGTCAGAAGCTGCAGCACAGGGCTGCCCATCTGGCTTTTAACTGCACCAGAAATTGCAGCCAGGGGGAGAAGGGAGGCACCTTTGCCATGTGGACCTGGATCCCCCCTCTTGCCCCTGAGCCAGCAAGCTGTGGGGGGCCCTTGCAGCAAGGGGTGTTTCATTCACCCACCCACCATCCCAGCCACTGCTGAAAGCTGCCCACTGGTCGGGGGGCAAGGTTGGGGAGAGGGGCTGCTCCAGCAGCCTCCTGGGAGGTGTACTGAAGTGTCACACATCTGCTGACCTTGGCTAGTGCAGGCCACTTCTATGCTCCCCCAGGGGCTAATGTCTATTATGTTTAATCCTGCACTAATCTAGAGCGCTTTGAGTAAAGCATGATACTTAAAGAGTGCTTTCACCTCAGTCTTTTTGAACACTTGTATTTAGCCTAAGTTCTTGAGGCC